TCAGTGGGAGGAATAGTGCCCCATCATTGGTGTCAGTGGGAGGAATAGTGCCCCATCGTTGGTGTCAGTGGGAGGAATAATGCCCCATCATTAGTATCAGTGACACCAATGATGCGGCACTATTCCTCCCACTGACACCAATGACACTTGTTGACACCTGTTGCAGTATGGTGCTGCTGCAGCCAGCATATGTGGTTGCAGCAGCACCTCTGCACTGCACACTTACCGGCTTTTCCCTCACTCGATTTTCGCGGGTCCACTCGGCTCCGCCTCCTCGCCCGTGATTGGCCGCCTGTGTACCTTTCCTGAGCTACAGTTCTGGCGGCCAATCACCGGTGAGGAGGCGGAGCCGAGCGGCAGGAGTGAGGGAGTGGCCGGAGTGGCGCTTCCTGGATGGATCATCGTGGGAGCCAGGTAGGAGACAGCAGCAGCCTCTGCCCACCCCTGTACGCGCCCCCCTTGACGGAGCCTCGCGCCCCCCCTGCTAGACATCTGCAGATGTTGACTCGAGTATAAGCCGAGGGGGCCGTTTTTCAGCACAAAAAATGTGCTGAAAAACTCGGCTTATACTCGAGTATATACGGTACATTGTTTTCATAAATAAAATCTGACCATTGCAAGCACCCCTCTCAGTGTTAAATGGGTTGCCTCAACCCTCTAACCCTCTAACTGCCACTTTTGCTGGACAGCTTGGTCAATCTGTTAACCACTTTAAGTCCACTCTATAGCAGATTTACTGCCACAGGATGGACGTTCTTTGCAGGTTTTGTACATAGGGGGCACGCATGCACCGCCAGAGCACCACTTCTGCTGTGATTGGACACAGCAGAAGCCGATCAATAGGTGCCAGCCAATGGAGGAGCGCAGGCACCCATTATTGGTGAAGGGACTGACTGGACACAGCACTGCCTATGGAAAAAAGGCAGACCTGTGTTCTGTCAGCGGTGATCTGCCAGATTGCCTAGTAAAACAGCACACACAGTACACAAAACGATGTGGCGCTGTTCCTCTCACTGACCCCAAAGACGGGGCACTGTTTCCACTGACAACAATGAATAGGTGCTGTTCCTCCCGCTGACCCCAGAGACGGGGCGCTGTTCCTCCCGCTGACCCCAGCGACGGGGCGCTGTTCCCTCCCGCTGACCCCAGCGACGGGGCGCTGTTCCTCCCGCTGACCCCAGCGACGGGCCGCTGTTCCCCCCGCTGACCCCAGCGACGGGGTGCTGTTCCTCCCCCGCTGACCCCAGCGACGGGGCGCTGTTCTCCCGCTGACCCCAGCGACGGGGCGCTGTTCCTCCCGCTGACCCCAGCGACGGGGCGCTGTTCCTCCCGCTGACCCCAGCGACGGGGCGCTGTTCCTCCCGCTGACCCCAGCGACGGGGCGCTGTTCCTCCCCCCCGCTGACAACAATGAAATAGGCGCTGTTCTTCCCGCTGACCCCAGCGACGGGGCGCTGTTCATCCCGCTGACCCCAGCGACGGGGCGCTGTTCCTCCCGCTGACCCCAGCGACGGGGCGCTGTTCCTCCCGCTGACAACAATGAAGGGGCGCTGTTCCTCCCGCTGACCCCAGCGGGCGGGGCGCTGTTCCTCTCGCTGACCCCAGCGACGGGCGCTGTTCCTCCCGCTGACCCCAGCGACGGGGCGCTGTTCCTCCCGCTGACCCCAGCGACGGGGCGCTGTTCCTCCCGCTGACCCCAGCGACGGGGCGCTGTTCCTCCCGCTGACAACGATGAATAGGCGCTGTTCCTCCCGCTGACCCCCAGCGACGGGGCGCTGTTCTTCCCGCTGACCCCCAGCGACAAGGCGCTGTTCCTCCCCGCTGACCCCAGCGACGGGGCGCTGTTCCTCCCGCTGACCTCAGCGGCGGGGGTGCTGTTTCTCCGCTGACCCCAGCGACGGGACGCTGTTCCTCCCGCTGATCCCAGCGAACGGGGTGCTGTTCTTCCCACTGGCCACCAAGCCTAGGTTATGCTTTACTCCTACTCATGCCAGGATATTTTCTACTCCTATTGGCCACAATCTGTCCCCCCTAAAGTTTGAAGGGCAGTAAACTGGCCCTTTGTTTCAAAAGTTTGCAGACCCCTGGTCTAGATGCTTATACCCCTTCCCAGCCAGTATCATTAATATAGTGACAGTGTATATTTTTGGCACCGATCACTGTATTCATGTCATGGGTTCCCACAAAGTGTCAGTGTCTGACTGTACACCGTGATACTGCAGTCCAACTATAAGTCACTATAGCCGCCATTAGTAGTATAAAAAAATAAAAATTGCAGTATATATACCGCCATGTATAGGCACTGTAACTTTTGCACAAGCCAATCAATATCCGCTTATTGGGATTTTTTTTTTTTTTACCAAAAATATATAACCAAATACATTTTGGCCTAAATGTTTATGAAAAAATTTTGATATTTTTTTTTTTTTTTTTTTTTTTTTTTTTTATTGTATTTGTTTTATAGAAGACATTAAAAAATTATTTAAAAATTTTGGGTTTTTTTTTTTACGTTTATAGCGCAAAAAAAAAAAAAAAAACCCAGAGTTGGTCAAATACCACCAAAATAAAGCTCTACTTGTGGATAAATATGAAATAAATTTATTTATGTACAGCATTGCAGGACTGTGCAATCAGGGCTGCTGTTAGAAATTATTGGGCCCCTTGCAGCCAACCTGACAGGGCCCCCCATCCTCACAACAAAAAAAAAAAAGTTTACTATGCTTCACTTATGAATGAACACAGTGAGTGACCAGTACCGATCACTTATTCTGTTTGTCCAGGAATGGAAGGGTCTGGTAAATTACTAGAACCGATCACCTGTATGGTTCTCTGTGCAGCAGCTGAAAGCTAGCCGGGGGGAAGGGGGGGGAGAAGAAGCCGGCTTTCAGCTGCTGCAGAGAGAGCTGGCACGGATCGCCGCCACCAACATGCGACAATCGCACGACCGCGACCAACAATAATACGTCACCCCCGTGACGTCAGACCCCAGACCTTCTCACCAAACTCATGACCAAAGGACCGGCCGATCTAAAACCGCGGTGTGACACGCGTAATAAGGCCACACCCAGCTGCATCCTGCACAGCGATTGTCCAGCTAATGGGCTATAATCGGTGCCTGCAGCCTGAATGCGCTTGTTACTGGGTCGGGTTAATTACGCAACTAACCCTCTACTGCCACCACCACTTTTGTTGGAGACTGGAAAACTCCCGTTATCAAATATACACTATAATGATTGAAATATTGATCTATACAACATGGTCCGCAGGCCCATTATACAGAGATTATAACAAACAACAGCGTCTCTTTAAAGGCAGGAATTTGTGAATTGCAAGTAAGCACTTAGAAACAGTTCAACACTTTCAGAAAGAAAGGTTTATTACTAAAAGAGTCAAACAGGTGCCACAAAATATTTACAAAAAGATGTAACTAAGATATATATATATATATATATATATATATATATATATATATATATATATATATATGCATATAAAGACCCACAGCACAGCAAAGAGATATTAGGAAGGAAGTTAAAGGATTAAGTTACTTGCCAATACGCCTTGGTTTGTAAGCAGATCCAAGTTGCAGAGCAGAAAGGGTCTTTGATCTCCTCTGTTTTACGATGTTACGTTTTGGAGATGTGTGCTTGCTTACCTTAGGCTTGCCAGCCTGTCTTTTTTAAAATCCCCCTGCAAGGGAGGTGGCTCTGAATACTGGCCACTACGCTGTTTTGGGAGGGGTCAGTCGGGGCGAACTCTGAATTAGAACCAACATCTGTCATAATCCATGACATGAAACATAGGGGAAAAACCTGACTTGAGGAATGTTCATTTCATTCTGTCATCTTTAACTGGTTTTGTGAGGTTTTGTGAGGTTACAATCTCTTTCAATTCCTGGGAGAAGCTGCCTTATCTGTTTTATGATGGGTGAGCCTGCACAAGTTCTCGGGTCAGTGCTTCCCAATTCTCTGAGGAAAGCTGGCCTTATCGTGACTTAGGTGAGGAAGGCTACACTTTCGCAGACTGCTCGGCACCGAACTAAGGATGCTTTAACCTGCGGTTGACCCCCTAACCAGCACACACCAGCTGTCACTGGGCCTCTCAGGAAGGGAGGGGGTAGGGAATGAAGGATTGAGAAATACTTCTAATAAAAAAAAAAAAAAAGGTAACTCCGCGTCCAACTCTGATGAGCAAGTTTGCTACAAGAGCCACACAGGGGATTGGTTCCAGTAATTGCCCCACTCACCATTCCTGCCCACATCCGATTCGCCTGGGCCCCCCTGCAGGCCTGGGCCCCTACAGGAGGACTGGTGGTACCCCCTTATCCACAGCCCTGCGTGCAATTTTCAGTAAGTAAAAAAGTAATGCAGCGTTGTATGGAAAAAAAAGTGCCTGGTCATGGAGGGGTAAACCTTCCGGAGCTGAAGTGGTTAACCACTGCAAGTCCGGACACTTTCACCCCCTTCCAATCTAGGCCAATTTTCAGCTTTCAGCGCTATCACACTTTGAATGACAATTGCGTGGTCATGCAACATTGTACCTATATGAATTTATTAGCATTTTTGGACAGATAAAATTTAATTTTGGTGGTATTTATCCACTGAGATTTTTATTTTTTTGCTATATAAATGAAAAAGTCCAAACATTTTGAAAAAAAAAGTGTTTTTCTTATAAAATTTAGCAAATAAAAAAAATCTTGCTTCATAAATCTTGGCCAATATGTATTCATCTATCTTTTTAGCAAAAAAAATAACCCAAATTAGTTTACAACCAAACAATTTTAATTTGTTTACATTTTTATTTTTTTTTTAATATTTGTTTTTGTTTTTTAACATGCCGTCACTCTAGCAGTACAGTGTCACCATAGTGACACTACTACTTGTGGGGGGTGATGAAGATTTGTTTTTTACACTGATTTGCTTTTACACCCCATAAAGGCTGTAAAAGCAAATATTTCTCCTTCTCTCTGGCTGCATTCCTGCAGCCATTGAGAAATACTGTGTGAGCTGTGATTGGTCACAGCTCGTCACATGGTACAAGGCTGTTGTGAATAGTCTTGTACCCAGGGGTGGGCTGACCATTCGAGCACTCAGGCACTGTCCGAGGGCCCGGGGTCAGTAGGGGGCCCCATGAAATGCCCCTGGTACCTTTTTTATAGGCTTTTTTGAGTGTGGGCAAGGACACAGGGGCCCCATGATCCCCTATTGCCCGGGGGCCCCATGAGTTGTCAGTCCACCCCTGCTCATTCACAGATTTCACTAGTAGTAAGCAATGATGTCAGGAAGTGACATCTTGTTTACTACTAATCATGTGATCACTGATTGGCCAATCAGTGATCACATGAATTGGGACTTCACACAGAGGTGTCCCGTACAGCGATCAGTGTTCACGATGACAGCGGGCACTGATCGTGGTGCCGCGTGCTCAGGGAATGGGTGCGAAGGGATGTTTAGAAACGTCCATCCGCATCGGCAGCGTTTCAGTCCGGCTGTTTATGTACATGGGCCAGACGGGAAGAGGTTAAGGGAAGTTGAAAAATAAGACACACTGGCAGGATCAATAAATAAAAAACTCTTGGGGGGGGCTCAGAAAAACAAGAACTTCTGTGTTAGTGCTTCTGACAGAGACTTAGGGGGTTTTATTTACTAAAACTAGAGCGTGCAAAATCTGGTGCATCTCTACATAGAAACCAATCAGCTTCCAGGTTTAATTGCCAAAACTTAATAGAACAAGCTGAAGTTAGAAGCTGATTGTCCACCATGCACAGCTGCACCAGATTCTCACTGCACCAGCTTTAGTAAAACTCCCCCTTAGGCTGACCATACACTATACAATTTTCTGTCCAATTTCTTTTAGCTTTACCTTCAACTATGTAGTGCTAGGGCCTGCCTAACTGTATACAATTGAATGTGTTGTTTAGGTTTGACCTCCTATTATATGGTTTTTGGAAAAATCTAAAGCAAAAATCTCAAGAAAATTGTATAATGTATGGCCACCCTTAGTTTCTTAGTTACTTTAAAGTATAGGTAAACCCTTACATTGTAAAAATAATCCATTCAGTATCAAATAGAAATGAAAGGCAAAACATTTTTGAATATATATAAGAAACATAAATACTTTTTTCCCTATTGAAACACAGAACAGAGAGTTGGGAGAGGAGAAACAGCAGCATACAGAATGGCTGTGCAGGAGCGGGGGGGGGGAGGGGTGAGCAGAAGTCTGATCATTGGAGGAGAGCAAACTGTGTTCCCAGCACAGCTATAAAACTGACCACGCTGTGATCGCATGCCTAGTGTAGTCAGTTTTTAATAGGAAATCAAGAGGGACTGGCAGGAACACTGCGGATTTCACTCAAGGGAAACGGTAAAAAGAGAACAGGAGACTTTTTTTTTTCATAGTGCATGGCACAGCAGGTGCATATCAGGAATATTGGAATGTTGGGTTTACATATTCCTTAATGTTTCTGAGCACAATTCCCCATGATGAACAGATCTCCACTGTAAAGTCTCTGTAAAGTTCCTAGTCATGTGATCTCTTATGTATGTTATGTCAGCAATCAAATTCAGGCTGGAAGTATCCTTGACAAAAAAAGCCTCCTGCCTGCAGATGGCCTTGTAGCCGTAATGTGCATTTGTTTGATATTGTAATTGTGTGGGACAACTGCAGTATTTAAAAAAAGAATCATAAAGCAATTAAAATATCTAAAAAAAAAAATTAAAACAACACAGGGAACATTTTTCTACACCTGTCAGACAATATTAATAACAGTAATAGACAGACCATGATTTTTATTACAACAATGTACTAAAATAAAAGACATAAAAATGGTAGCAAAAAAGGCAGGCAAACTAGTCAGAATTATAGTCATGTTGACCAATGCAGCTGAATTTGGCTTAAATGACCTCTCACCTAAATCTTAAAGATTTAAAGTACACGTGTAACCACCAAGTGCTGCCCATGAGATGAAATACCTTCAGGCCCGATCCAGTGTGGCTCACTTGAAAGTGGCCACTTCACACCGCGCATGCATGCTGTGGCTCCATATCTATAGGAAAGCCTTCTTTATAGGAGGTCTTTTGGAGTACAACTTTTCCTAGAAATGAATAGGTCAACTCGCCCATTCGTAGCACATAGTGACCATTTTCTGGGAAACGCTGGGGGTCTCTGGACGAGGCTTCACTATGAAGATCACTGACTGTAGGGAAGTACTTGCCTCCAAGGTCATCCAGTGCCCAGGGTGAAAAAGGGAAACTGCACCCCACCCCCCCTTAGCACCCTACCAAAAAAAATGCCCTTGGATCAGTGGTGGTACTGGCTGAAAAAATGTCTTTGCATCAGTGGTGTCACTGGAGGGAAAGATGTCCCTGTATCAGTGGTGTCACTGAAAGGAAAGATGTCCCTGCATCCATAGTATCACTGGAAGGAAAGATGTCCCTGCATCCATAGTATCACTGGAAGGAAAGATGTCCCTGCATCCATAGTATCACTGGAAGGAAAGATGTCCCTGCTTCTGTAGTGTCACTGGAAGGAAAGATTGTCCCTGCATCAGTGGTGTCACTGAAAGGAAAGATGTCCCTGCATCCGTAGTGTTACTGGAAGGAAAGATGTCCCTGCGTCCGTAGTGTCATTGGAAGGAAAGATGTCCCTGCGTCCGTAGTGTCACTGGAAGGAAAGATGTCCCTGCGTCCGTAGTGTCACTGGAAGGAAAGATGTCCCTGCATCGGTGGTGTCACTGGAAGGAAAGATGTCCTGCATCGGTGGTGTCACTGGAAGGAAAGATGTCCCTGCATTAGTAGTGTCACTGGAAGGAAAGATGTCCCTGCGTCCATAGTGTCTCTGGAAGGAAAGATGTCCCTGCGTCCGTAGTGTCACTGGAAGGAAAGATGTCCCTTCATTGGTGTCACTGGAAGGAAAGATGTCCCTTCGTTGGTGTCACTGGAAGGAAAGATGTCCCTTCGTTGGTGTCACTGGAAGGAAAGATGTCCCTGCATCGGTGGTGTCACTGGAAGGAAAGATGTCCCTGCATCGGTGGTGTCACTGGAAGGAAAGATGTCCCTGCATCGGTGGTGTCACTGAAAGCAAAGATGTCCCTGTGTCTGTAGTGTCACTGAAAGGAAAGATGTCCCTGTGTCAGTGCTGTCACTGAAAGGAAAGATGTCCCTTCATTGGTGGTGTCACTGGAAGGAAAGATGTCACTGCGTCAAGACCAGTGTTTCTCAATCTTTTTTCAGTCAAGGCATGCTCTAAAATTATGATCAGTCTCAAGGCACCCTCTAAAATTATGAACAGTCTTGAGGCCATTCTAAAATGTGAAAAACTATTATAATAGTTTTTATATATCGCAGCAAACATCCACACATGTTGGACATCCAACATTAGAGGTGATTTATTCTTCCAAAGCAAATACGCTTTTGCACACTGGTACTGACTAGTATACCAATGTTTCTTTTCTCTCTCAGCTCCTCTCCATCACTGAGCTAACATGACCCCAGCACTGATGGAGAGGGGCAGGAGAGAGTCAAACTAGAATGCTGTGCAGGTAGCTGGCATCCTCATCAACTGATGATGTCATTGGTTGTCAGGACACCGGCGGCTATTAGGTTGTAATGGTGCACAATGAAAACCTGTGCCGTTGTAAAACTACATGGCCGGCTTGTTCCACCCACTGGCTTGTATACAATTTTTGGGTAATTCTTAGATATTTTGCCAAGTCACCCCTGAAGAAACCTCATGGCACCCTGGTTGAGAATGGCTGGTCTAGATGATGGGAGACAGTCCCATACCGCTCAGAGCTCACACAGCTAGAGGTATGCTGGTGATGCCAGCTTTAAAAAGATCAGGAATACACACACACTTTTCCTTCCAGCTCATTCTCTCTCTCTTTCTCTCTCTTTCTCTCTCTCTCTCTCTCCCTCCCTTTCTCTTGTTCTCTCTTTCGCTTTCTCTCATTCTCTCAAAAAAGACATAAGCCCATCCAATTCAACCATAGAAAAAAAAAGTTATAATCCTATACCCCAGTTGATCCAGAGGAAGGCAAAAAATAACCCAGCAAAGCGTGAACCAATTTGCTCCTGCAGGGGAAAAAATTCCTTCCTGATCCCCGAGAGGCAATTGGATATTCCCTGGATCAACTTTACCTATAAATGTTAGTATCCAGTTATATTCTGATGTGTATCTAAATGAAATATTCCAGGCCTTTTTTGAAGCAATCCACTGAGCTGGCCAGAACCAACTATTGAGGGAGTCTATTCCACATTTTCACAGCTCTCACTGTGAAGAAACCTTTCTGTGTTTGGAGATTACATTTCTTTTCCTCCAGATGTGAAGACTTGCTCGCTCTCGCTCTCGCTTTCTCTCTCGCTCTCCCCTCTCGCTCTCACTCTCTCTCCCTCTCTCTCCCCCCCCTCTCTCTCTCTCAGCTCGAGCGCTCACCCCCGCTCTCTCTCTCGCTCTCACTCCTCTCTCTCCTTCTCTCTCTCTCCTCTCTCTCCCCTCCTCTCTCTCTCTCCTCACTCTCCTCTCTCACCTCTCTCTCACCTTTCTCTCTCCTCTCTCACCTTCTCTCTCTCCTCTCTCTCTCTCCTCTCTCTCCTCCCTCGCCTTCTCCCTCGCCTTCTCTCTCTCCTCCTCCCTCTCCTCCTCCCTCTCCTCCTCTCTCTCCTCCTCCCTCTCCTCCTCTCTCTTACCTCCTCTCTCTCCTTTTCCTCCCCCCCCTTTCTCTCTCCCTCTCTCTCCCTTTCTCTCTCCCTTCTCTCTCTCCCCTTCTCACTCTCCTCTTCTCTCTCTCCTCTTCTCTCTCACTTCCTCTCTCCTCTCGCTTCCTCCCTCTCTCCTCTTCTCTCTTGCTTCCTCTCTCTCCTTCTCGCTCCCTCTCTCCTCTCCCTCTGTGTCCCCCTCTTCTTCCCCCTCTCCCCTCTCTCTCCCTCTCTCTCCTCCCTCTCTACTCCCTGCCTCTCCCTCCCCCTCTACCCCCCCCTTCTCTCCCCCCCCTCTCCCCCTCTCTCTCCTCCCTCTCCCCCCTCTCTCCCCCTCTCTCCCTCTCTCCTCCTCTCGCTCTCCCCTTCTCGCTCTCCCTTCTCTCTCTCTCTCTCCTCTCGCTCCCCTTCCCCCCCTCTCTCCCCCTCTATCTCCTTCTCTCTTTTCCCTCTCCTTCTCCTTATCTCTCTCTCCCTCTCCTTCTCTCTCTCCCCTTCTCTCTCTCTCTCTCCTTCTCTTCTCTCTCTCTCCCTCTCCTTCTCCTCTCTCCTCTCTCTCTCCTCTCTCGCGTCCTCCCTCTCTCTCTATTTCTCCCCCCCCCCTCCCTCCCCCCTTTCTCTCCCATCTCCCCCCCTTTCTCCCCCCTTTATCCCCCCTCCCCCCTTTATCCCCCCCCCCTTTTCTCCCCCTTTTTTTATCCCCCCCCTTTCTCCCCCCTCCTCCCCTTTTTCTCC